CCGGGGCTTGTCAGGAATACACAAGAAAGACTTGATTCGGCACACGTTATAGTATCTATGAAATTAAAGTAATGCTTTAAAATTTACTGATTTAAATTAAATACAAAAGGAAAAAATTAAGGAAATATACTAAAATTGCTGATTTATTCAATTCAATACTAGACTTTTATTTTTCGCTGTTTATCGGTTGCTGCGCCTCTTTCGCTCGTTCCTTCTAGTATGGAAACTAACCTCTCTGCGTGCAAACTTGTTATAGAGAACTTGTTGAATACATGCAAGGTAAAGCCCAGGGAAATATGGGCATGGCTTTCACCATATGGAAAAATATCAAGTAATTTCATTGCAGATATCTATTATTAGCTATTGATTTGCACCGTACTCTTGTCTTCGTTACCTTTGAAAAACCTTTGGAATCACAGTTGGCAATTGAGAATGAAAATGGTGTGACATTTGCCGGTTCTATTGTTACCCTTAGAAAATTCGAAGATTGGGACCCTATGATATCTGGCGACCTCATTCTTACCTATCATGTCCCTGATGTGATTATTTCGGATTCACAACCTGTAAAGAAGCCAGGCAAAAGTGCTAATTCATCGGATACCGAAAATTCTGAAGAGTCTCAGGAACGGCGAGCTAAAAAGCTAAAGAGCGAAGATGTAACCCTGTAAGCGTAACTTGATTTAGTAATTCTATTCATTCAATTACATATAAAAATGGCTGGAGCATACCTTTTAACCTCGTAGGGAATATCTTAAACTTTTTTGATTAAGAATTTTAAAATTTTTTAGAGAACCGTGCTATATATATTGCATTAATCGTTCCTTAGGTTTCCACTTTCCGTGCTCATTTTTCATATTTTTGGTCCTTCGGGCTGTTTATAACTGCTGCTCTATTATTTTTTTGACGCAAATTTACCTCGCTTATTTTAGCCTTCCTGATTATAGATTGTCTCAGTAGCTCTTGCAGTTTATCGACTTCCGTTGTAGATAGGCCTAGCCATTATTCTTGCTGAAACTAATTTAGTGAATGGTCACTCAACCCTTTAAGTGTTCCATCCTACGTATTTCATCGTTTTCATCAATTCATCAATTTAATTCAATGTTTATACTCTTGGTTTATTGTGACTTGTTTAGCGTTTGCATATTTAATACATAATGTATGCTAGATCCGGTTTTCAATCTAGACATGATTGTAGATTGTCGCTTGATTTAATTAATTAACTATTTATCTCTGTGCAGATTGGCTTACTTTTTTGCTTATTTTTTAGCTTAGCAGATTACGAATATCAGATTATTCCACTACTAAGTCTAAGAGAGCCAGGACCCGAAATTCAAAATTTTGTCTTGCGTATTCCAACATTTCAAGTTTTTTAATTGCAGGTTTTCTCAAC